AAGTAATGTGTATTATATAATATATTAATATGCTAGTGAAGTGAAATGGTATGAAATATAATAAAAATGTTCTTGCCAAAGTTTGGATAAAAACAATTTAAGACTGCAAGTGTAGCTGGGTTTAACAGAATAGTTTCAAGATGAATGAAACCTTTTTCCTCTCAGGATTAATGTAAGTAATTGACTTCTGCATACATTTCCATGGCACTTGTGTTCCCCTCTGTGAATGGTGTTGGAATTAATCAATCATCAATAAGAATTTGAGTACCTATTAGATGCCAGTACTGTGTGCTAGGGATACAAAGATAAAAATTAAATAATACCTACACTGAAGGAGTTTATATTCTAATTCTAATCAGGGAAGACATACATGTATGTCTTTGCATTTGTGTATATAGATGTTTATTCACATAGATACACACATATATGTATATACAGATGCACATATACATACACATGTATAGACATATGTTTACATATACACATGTGTAATATATGCTTGTATAAACATATGTGATTATATAGACACATACATATTTAAGACACATACAAAACAGAGACAAGGTAAAATTGGATGGGAAGGCATTAGCAACTGACTTGGCCAAGAAAGACCTCATACATTAAGTCATGCTTAAAATGAATCTTAAAGAATCCAGGAACTCTAAGAGGTGGAGACAAAGAAGGGAAGGTGTTTCAGGTAAGGAGGTCAGTCAATGCAGTGACAGAGCAATGGGAGTTAGAGCATCTTTCATAAAGAGCAGCAAATAGACTGTGATTGGATCATAAAATGTATGAATAGAAATATGTAAAGGACATTCAAGAAGCTGGAAGGTCCAGGTTGGGAAGAGATTTAAATGTTAGCCAATGAAGATTATATTTTTTCCTAGAGGTCATAGGGAGCCACTTGTGATTATTAAGTAGGGGCAAGTATTCAGGTTTGATTTTTAATGAAAGCATTTTGACAGCTGACTATGCATAGGATGGAATAGAAATAGGGTATGCTTGAGGGGAAGAATAAGGAGGGGGCTATTACAATATGCCAGAGGAGAAGAGATAAGGGTTCTATTAGCATGGTAGCTATGTGATCTAGGGTAGTGGTTGTGAGTAGAGAGAAAGGAATATACATATAGATAGAGATATAGATGTAGATGTATATAAATATACATCTACATCTATATCTAAACACACACGTATGTGGAGTGAGGAACCTAAAATTGGGGGGAGTCTAGGTTGACAGCCTGGGTGATTGGTAGGATGATGGTACCTTCAAGAGCAGGCATGGGGAAACTGCAGCCTGGAGGCTACATGTGGTCTTCTAGGTTCTCAAGGGTGGCCCTTTGACTGAATCTAAACTGCTTTTATAAAGGGAATTTGTTCTGTGATATTTAGATTCAGTCAAAGGGCCATACTTGAGGACCTAGAGGGCTACATATAGCCTCAAGGCCACAGGTTTCCCACCCCTGTTAGAAGTAATTGGGAGATTACCAACAGGGGTGGGTTTGGGAATAGGGTGGGCCAAAATTATGAATTTTGCTTTTGATGTATTGACTTTGAGATTCCAATGTTATGTTAATTTTACACGTGCAAAAGCCTTTTCCTTTTCTTATAGCAGTGAAAATAAATGATTTTATCTTTGGCGACCATCTTAAAATTCTGTTTGGTTAAGGATTCACTCCTTAGTGATAGGTGTCAAAAGCATATGTTGAATTGTGGTGTGTGTGGGTGTGTGTGTGTGTGTGTGTGTGTGTGTGCGCGCGCTTTAAATTATGGTTTGAGCTCTAATATTCATATCATTAATCTATTTTGAGCTTACTGTGGTATATGGAATAAGCAAAGTCACTTTCAAGTGTGAAATTTATGATTCTGTGATGATATGATTCTATATTATTAGCATTACAATTACTTTTGGGTATTTATTTGATAGGAGAAAGACCTTGTTCAAAAGAGGAAATTGGAGGAGATGAGAAGCTTTTGTTATGTGAAGATCTAGTCAGGGAAAGGAAAATCTAAGCTGCTTTATCTTTTATTATTTCCACCTATAGTTTTAAAGGTGGAAACCCCTCACAGGTTTGTCTTACTCTTTGCTGACACCTATAGCTCGAGAGAGGGAAAATCCTCAGAGAATAGCAAGCAAATTGCTGAGAAAGAGCTAATAATGTTGACTCAGGGCTCAGTTAAGGGATCTGACTTGAATAACTCTGCAGGCTCATGCACTTTTAGTTCAGGCTTTCACTAAAAGGACTTAAAACTGCTTAGCAGCCTGAAAGTGGCAGTCAGCCAATAAGTGGAGAGGTCCAGAAGAGGATTGGCCTCACCTAGCAGGTGACACATAGTAGAGATTGTTCCCTAAGGAAATAAAAGATATTGAGGCCAGAATTATGAGTTGCCCTGAACATGTAGATTTCCCAATTCATGGGCCTTCCAGCTTGGCCTCTGAAACTTGTGCTGACTCTCTCCCTGGATAGCTGCTGTGTACATTGGTGGGGAAGAATGACCCAGAACTTCGAGTAGACTGTTATGATAATTTTTGGTTTTGCTTTTTTTGTTTAGTGAATGACTGAGTGTATGGTTTCAACTTGGCTCTTTTGTTTAAATAGGAAGCACACCAGTGGGAAATCAGCATTTACTTGTTCACAGTAGATGTATATCTCATCCACATCATGGTTACCCTGAGGACCCTGACAGTAAATTGTAGCAGTATGGCCACCTCTTTGTGGAACCACCCTAATCTGGTGTTATGGGTACTGGTAGAGTGAGTGAACCAGCACCAGGATAAAGACTTAGAATTGTTGGTGAATAGCACCGTATCAACATTACTCTAATGAGCAACATATTTAGGTATTTTGTTTTCTTATCCATTCTGCCATTCTGGACAGGCATATAACTGGCATTCACAGGCAGGGGTCACTTCACCTTCCTGATCCTCACACTAGATTGAGCAAAGGGGAATACCTTGTCCTCCCCCTTCACTTTCAGTTAAACAAAGTCTGAGAAATTATTGATCTATCTTGCCATTCTTCATCCCCATAAATTTGTGGTATATGTCATTCTTAGTATAATCTCCTTAGTGTAACCCACACCAAGTTGGCCAAAGGTCAGAGAAGTTAAGTGACAACTTACATAAGGTTCTGAGCTCAGATCAGAAACCTAGTCTTCTTCCTCCAAATGAACTATTTTTCTCACTAAACTATAATATCATAACTAAGCCTATTAGTTAGTTATAGAAGGGATTTCTATATGTGTATTTCTTATTTTTTATTTTTAAAAATCATTATTTAGCAATATATTATTCATAAGAAGCTTTCTTGAGGCTTTAGCTAGAAAATGTAATAGATGCCAAAGTAATCCCTTATAGTAACAGAGTTGTTAGTCAAAGAAAGAATTATTGCATTTAACTGAACTTAAACAAATTCATTCTCATAAGAGTTAGGAAATTTGGTTTGCAATATGTGTTCTGCCACTACCTCACTTCGACTTTGGGAAAATCAATGTAATTTCTTGGGCTTCAGTTTCCCCATTTTATGAATGGGGAAGGTGCCCAAGGTGGGCAGGCTCTAAAATTCTGTGATAAGTTAATTAAGTGCCAGGGGGAATGTAAAAATGCATAAGACACTGCATTCTATGTATTCAAAGATTTAAAATCCGAAGGAGGAATATCATTTATATAAATAACGATAACATTTTAAAGCATCTACTCTGTGCCAGACATTTTTTGTTGAGTGCTAAAGATAAGTGATGAAAAAAAGCAAAACAGTCCTTTGGTGAGTTTACATTGTACTGCAATAAAACAGCACTACCAGGCATAAGTAAACAGAAAATATGTTCAAAGAATATAAAGTAAATTTTTAGGTGGAGTACATTAGAAACAAGGAAGATCAGGACAGTTTTCCTATAAGAATGACATGATATGGGTTTTGAACAAAACCAGGGATTTTAAAAAGCAAATACAACGAGTGAGTAAATTCCAGACTTCTTCTGTAAAGACACATAGAATGGAAATGGAATGTCACAGGGAACAGCAGATAAAACAGTTTTGTTGGAATACAGAGTAGATGAAAGAGAATAAAATGCAGTAAATCTAGAAAGGGAAACTGAAGCCAGAAAGCAATTGGCTACAAAAGTTAAACAGGAGAATTTATAGTTTATCATAGAAGAAACTGCTACTTCGCCACAGTTTTCTCATATGTAAAATGAATGTGTTAGAGTGAGTGATCCTGAATTTCTCTTCCAGTTCTTGAATTTGTTTTTCCCTATCAGAGAAGTAGGACAAAAGACCCCAGTTCCTTTCAGTTTTCTGGATTTAATTCATTTTACTGGATATGGATATGAATGTGGAAGGGAGATAAAATGAATTTTCTCACTTCTATTAATTAAAAGATCAAATTGAAAGAGATCAAGTAAAAGAAACATGGGGGGGAAAGCAATTCAAAATGCAGATATGAAAGGTATAAGGGTTTTTCTATTTAGCTGGCTGAGTATAGATGACTGGGATTTGCATCAAAAAAGGGCTAAAGAGAGCCTCTAGGTATAAAAGCTAACAATCTTTCAGTGAGAAAAAAAAATACATCATAGATGAAGGCCTGAAGATGGCAACATATAGAAGTAGTAGAAGTAGTAGTTTACTATAGATGTCCAGAAAAAAAAAGTAACAGACAGTAGTTGTTCTGAAGTATTGGAGGTGTGTATTCCCTATGTACATGACCTTTCACAAATTTTCCCTTGTCATATGTCCTTCCTATGTGTCTCCTCCCACATCTGTAGTGTGATAATCCTGAAGGAAATTATGTGAAGTGAAAGAAAATCTTTGTAGTCTCTTATTTTAATATGCTGTTGAATTAAATGCCTTTTTCATTGATATAACATGTCCTTTATTTAGCCTAGTTTAAAAAAAAACACATATTGGAGCAAGGACTGGAAGTAGAACACTGTTGGCTTCTAGTGCTTGGGCGTCTGGACCTGGAGCAAAGTGACTGTGACTGAGTGGTCGGACTAGGATCACCATGGCTCTTAAAAAGCTCTCCAGGTTTCTATCTCTTGTTCAGTCTGCAACTTCAGTGTATTTTAGAAGGAACATTGGTGTTACAGCTGTTGCATTGAACAAGGAACTTGATCCTGTTCAAAAACTCTTTGTAGACAATATTAGAGAATATAAATCCAAGAGATGGGCAGCTGAAGGAGGACCTGTTGATATAGGTCCTGAATATCAACAAGATCTGGAACCTGAACTATTCAAGCTTAAGCAGATGTATGGTAAAGCAGACATGAATACATTCCCAACATTCAAATTTGAAGACCCCAAATTTGAAGAAGCACCTAAACCCTAGTTATGAGGATTAACTACAGAGTATATATTACTGTTTGATTATTTGACATGACTTAGTTGTGTAACTAATCCATAGTAACAATAAATTTTAATTTCACTTTCAAAAAAACACATATTAAAGACTCAAGAGAGTTAATATGAGTAGATTTGAATCTGAGCAAGGCTGTAAAACCTTAAAAGTAACCAGGTAGTGCTTTAATTCTCTGCAGGAGACATTTACCTAAATGGTGGGGGTGGGTACCAGAGGGCATCATTATAGAATCTGTTCAGTTCTTTAATTTCAGCTAAAGAGTCAACTTTCTTTAGGTTTACATCTAATAAAAATAAATATCATCTATTTTCAACTGATTTCATTTCTTATAAAGCCTGAAAACCTTGCTGTCGGTCTCTTCCATCTTCTAATTGAAAGGGTGATAGGAAAAAGTGACTTTTAGAAGAGTATCTCTATACTTTGTAGAAGCAAAAAGAAAACTTTATATAAGAGTAGAAGCAGTTGCTTTCATTCTTAGATTTTCATTACCATATTAATTACAAGTTGAGTAGCAAACCATCTTCCAATACAATTTATTGGAATTGCATTCACATAAACATGCTCTAGGAGCAATTTAAATGTGAAAATACTTTGCCATTACCTACTTTAACAATGTACAGTTTTCAGCCTTTAAAAATCAAATTCAAATTGGCTAAGATTTCCAAAATGGCACACAAGGAGCAACCAGGCAACTCTGAGTGATTTTCATAAAAGCTGTGTAGCTCACATGGGTACTCATTACTCTGTAAATAGATCCCTCAATCCTTAATGAAGACTGCAATGTACTTAAGCAGCAGGGCTACTTTTGATACCTATGCTGCTTGAGGCAAAGAGGCATTAGCACAGTTAGGGAGACCTCTCGAACTTGGAATAGTCCCCAAACTAAACTCAACCCTTCAAAAAAATAAAAAGTTAAAAGACCTGAAGACTGTGAGAAATGTGGTATTTATAAATCATTGTCTTTCTGTTGTCTACTTCCTTTTCTTAGGAATAACAATAATAATGTATAAAAATAGTCAGAATCCCAGTCCCCAAAGGATGAATGGTAAAGTAGATAAAATTAAGTGATTCTTGCCTAGTGAGTTTACCATCTAAATTAGAGGAAACATCTCAGTGTGTGGATTGAGAGTATATACTTTAAGCATTCATTATTGCCTGCATCGCCTTGAAGCAACAGATGTGAATTTTCAGTCTTTCAGGGGATTTAGTGGCATAACTTACTACATTTGAAGGGAGTCATTTTAAAACCTATAAAGTTCTAAAAATTTTCTTCAAAGGCTTTTCAGTTTTTGTTTCATTTTTAAAGTTTAATGAGCAAAATAACTGGATGACATAGAAGCTTATGACAGAAATAAAAGGTTTTATTTTTGGTTTCAGGTGTAGGTCAACAATAATGGTCAATACCTAGGATCCTAACACAACAGTGGAATTTGAAAACACTAGTGTTGGCAGCACTAGTTTATTTTTTAAGCATAGAGGTCAGCATAGAAATGGTTTTAGGGATAGAATGAAATGTGAAGCATGAGATGAATAACACATTTCTTCAATGTATGATAGCTGAACATATTTTGGCTGTTGATTAAAGATATTTCATATATGGGTGATGTAAACATTGGTTATGAAAATTCTAAATGATGTAATGAGCTATATATTGAGAAGAGAAAAAAGGCAGTGGGAGAGAGAACTTGGAGATGACACTTTGGAACAGACAGAAAAAAAAACTGAAACAATAAAGAAATTGAGAAACTGAGTAAAAATATTCACAAATATTGGATGGCATCTTATAAATTTGGATTCTAGGAGAAATCTGTTCAAAAAAATGGTTGGGGGTTGGAAGTAGGTTGGAGGGAAATAAGCATAAATATAGAAAGAATATGGAAAACCAGTCCAAAAATAAACTTTCTCATCTAAAAAACCTGAGAAATGGCATCAAATGGGCTTGGAGGTGAAGCAGGATGAATCTAAAGAAAAATGAACCGTATATTTAAATCTGAACTCTGTAACTACACTGTGTAATTTGAATTTGCTTACCTTAATAGAGTTTGTCTCCTGAATTTCTTCACAATATACTTAAATTTTGTGATTTAAATAACTAACTAAACATATAATAATGCAAATGACTAACTACAAAATAAGGATGCTAAATAGGATTGAGAAGCCAGACAGAACTTTAAAGATTCAATTCATTCAATTCATGTTCATTGAACACTTGTCTACATTGTATAAACATTCTGCTAACAAATGAGGATTATATTTGGGAAAGATTTTGTCTTTTCCTTCAGGGAATTCAGTCTGCTGAAGGGGATCATCCCCAGTTGTCCTGGTTTATATCTTGCCAGTGGACCCAGATGACTCCAGAGGAGAAAGCAAGGCTGGTGACTTTGCATAGTCATCCTTCAGTTAAATCCAATTCACTTGCAAGTCATGGCATCACTTTTCTGATACCACGGCCCTCTTCAAGAATGAAGAACAAACAACAAGAAGTCTGCTGGAGCTTAGAGGCCATGGTCTAAAAAACAGAAGACACATCGATTCTTTTGGTGGTAAAATTATTTCTGGTTAGGTTTGAAAGGGGAAAGAATAATAGTGAAAGTAATTTGCAAACATTAAGTGGGTCACATGACAACTTTTTCATGGTGGCTGAGGAATCAGTTGTACTAGAAGGAACTTCTTAAATAAAGATCTTCTTAATGTGGTTAATCATTGTTAAAGACCTATTTTTCTTTCCATGACATCTATGGAGCATATGTGGCTAACTTTATCATGCAAACTTACTAGTGGAGGAGCAGTGTCTCTACATCAAATGCACTGCCCTTAGGGACCATTGTGGGTTGAGAACAAAACCCAAACCTATAAAGAGTTTTAGAAATGATTTAATTAAGTCATTTGCAGAGGACAGAGCCAGAAAAAAAGGTGTGGCTCCTTCTTGAGTCTTGCTTATATGTAGGCATTTTCCAAAAAGGATGTTTTCCAGATGTTGCTTGAGATGTACACTAGCTGGTAAGCATAAACAATCTATAAAACTTGGTCATAAGCATTTTGGGTGAAGCCAAGAAAGACTTGTGTGGAAGCAAAACAAGACCTGGGTAGGGTTTAATCATTCTTTGCATAGATCTCTGGCTTCCTTAGAGGGTCTCAGCATGATCCGCACTTACATTCTGGGTTAAAAATATTTAGACATATAAAGCTAGGTTCAAAAAAATCAATAAATAATATATTTTTTTTCCCACAGCAGCACCAAGGAGTTGTACCAAAGGTGTTCCAATAAGGTTCCTATAATAATTGATTTATAGTAGAGCACAGATTAATTGAAACAAAGTAAAATTATTTTTTTTATTTATAGATAGACATTAAACCTTATAACTTTCATTGTTAGTTGGGAATTTTAGTAATTTTACAATTCTGCTTCTCAGCATATCAGTATATTCACCAGAGCTTATCATTCCCTCAAGGATCACAAAATTTCCAGTCTTGAAAGTTTATACCAGAAGTTAAAAAAAAACAAATTCTCCAATATTTTTTGGGCTAGATGTTTTACAGTCTGATGAAACTACACAAATCATATAAGTTCACTTGGACTTCTAACAATGGATTTGCTATGAAAAATAAATTCCACTGGTAAAAACAAAACAGAACAAAAAACATTTTTTTCCAAACCCCAGTACTCATCTCTGTCTTGTTTCACTCATGACAAACAGTTTTTCTTCACAACAGTGGTTAACAGCTTTTTTGAAAAACTGGTCATCATGCTATACTTACAACTTCAAGAAGCCTATGTCATAATGTAAAAGAGTCAATAAAACATCTCTAGCTCTCAGGTCCCTCTGAAGCTCTTTGCTTCTTTTCTGAGGATTAGTTTGGCAACAATAGCTTGGTTTGGGCATTATTATTTTCTTCTTTGCCAACATTTTTCTTTGACCTTCACTGTAACTGATGATGTTTCATTTTGAACTTGAATAATCCTTGAAATGTTTGATATCTATGTGTCAATAGCATTTGTAATGTCCACAATCCTTTCAGTGTGCTCCTTCAATAAACAATATTTATTAAGTGCCTACTATGTTCCAGGTGTTGAAGATACAAGTATAAAGAAGGATGCAATCCCTACACACAAAGAGTTTACATTTTAATGAGTAAGAGAATAAATACATACGTGTGTGTGTAAATATATACATATACCCAGCATCAATAAAAAAAATGAACAAAAACAAAAAGCTTTTTAAAAGAAAAAAAACTAGTCTTCTAAATGTACTTCCACCTTCAAGGAACCTATCCCACAATGCAAAATCAATAACAATCCCTCCAGGTGTCAGGCATTTCTAAAAATCTTTGCTTGTTTTCTAAGGACTAATTAGGCAAGGTAGTTTGGGAAGAAAGAGCAACAGCTTTTAGGATGGTGAGGAAAAGCTTTTTTTTTTTTCAAAAAAAATATAAAATGATGTCTTAAAGAAGAGGGGAACTCTTTTAAAACTGTAACATTTGTACATTTCTTTGGAGTAATATTCAGTTTTACAAGATGTCAAATTAAAAACACTTCAAAAGAAAACAAAATGCATTTGTATATGGCACAAAATTAGTTGCTCAACTGACAGAGAACTAACTAAAAGTGGGGACGATAAGGATGGTATTTGGATGCCAAAAAAGGAAAAACCCTGGACTTTCCCACATGGCCAAATCTCTGACTTTTTCCTGAGGCTATATAATCCTATCAACTGGCCTTTCCTTATCTCCTAAACCCAATCTACCTAGAGATGGCCCTGGCCACTTCCCACCCTTAATATTATCTAGACTCAATTCTCACTTGGCTATGGTGTCCAAGTCCCCAGGCATTCTGTTCACCCCAGCTTACTGGCCACTCCCCATCCATATCTTTCTTAGACCCTTCCTCCAGTCACCCCAAACTACTTGGCCATTCACGGATCCCTCCCACAGTCTTTCTGTATATGAGGTCCATCTTGTCTCCATTTAAA